GCAGAATAGCCCTCCCTGATGATGACCCCTTCTTTCCATTTATTTTACAGCAATAAAATACCTCTCAGTTAAGCCTTTGGTCATCATGGTGAACTTGAATTATAGTATTAATTTTTATTCCCTCTCTATCTCTCACTTGCGCACACACATGCGTGTGCACCCTCCCCCCCCTTTCATAGTTTCATAGTTTTTAGGGTCGGAACGCACCTGAGCAGATCATCTAGTCCGACCCCCTGCCATGGCAGGAAAGAGCACTGGGGTCAAATGACCCCAGTAAGGTGGTCATCCAACCTCCTCTTAAAAACCCCCAGGGTGGGAGCCTGCACCACCTCACTTGGAAGCTGGTTCCAGACCCTAGCCGCCCTGACCGTGAAGTAGCGCCTCCTGATGTCCAACTTAAACCTTCCCTCTGCCAGCTTGTGGCCGTTGTTCCTGGTCACTCCTTGCAGCGCTTGGGGGAACAGGGGCTCCCCCAGCACCTGCTGATCGCCCCTAACCAGTTTATAACAGGCCACAAGATCCCCCCTCAGCCTTCTCTTTTGAAGGCTGAACAGGTTCAGGTCCCGCAACCTTTCCTCATAGGACCTACCCTGCTGTCCCTTGATCATACGAGTGGCCCTCCTCTGGACCCTCTCGATGCTGTCCACATCCCTCTTAAAGTGCGGCGCCCAGAACTGGACGCAGTACTCCAGCTGCGGCCTGACCAGTGCTGCATAGAGGGGGAGGATCACCTCCTTGGACCTGCTCGAGATGCATCTGTGGATGCACGACAAGGTGCAGTTGGCCTTCCTAGCCGCCTCCCCACATTGCCGACTCATGTTCATCTTGGAGTCAATAATGACTCCCAGATCCTTTTCCACCTCCGTGCTGACAAGAGGGGAGTTCCCCAGCCTGTATGTATGGTGCCGATTGTTCCTCCCCAGGTGCATCACCTTACACTTGTCTGTGTTAAACCCCATCCTGTTCTCCTCCGCCCATCCTTGTAACCTGTCTAGGTTCTACTGTAGCCTGTTGCTCCCCTCTATTGTGCCCACATCCCCCCACATCTTAGTGTCATCAGCAAACTGGAACAGGGTGCTTTGCACCCCTTCATCTTTTGACTGTGTGATATGCTGACAGGACTGGTTCTTCTGCCATAGGGAACAATGGCACCCTGTACCAACACCTGGTGAAAGGATAGAGAAAGGAAAGTGTGGAGAAGGAAAGGGGTGGCTATACCCATCCACAAATGAAGTCCTATCTTTAATTTAAAAACCAGTGACATACCCCACAATAAATGACCCTAACCATGATTTTTTTCAAATAAAGGAGCTTACTGAGAAGGGGTGACATCTTACTTGGAGATCCGTTGTGTATATTCTCTTCCTCCTGAAGTGGAATGAGGAATGTGTTCCTGAAGATGCACTGTACCTCTATTGGCCTCCTTTACTTTAGGGTTTGGAGCTTGAAACCTCGTATGTTCTAAGGTAAGGTGTTGGGATTCCATAAAGATGCCAAATGGCACAGTGAGTGTCCATTGGGGATTCAGGATTATACTTAAAGTGCTTATTGTAGTTTCCCTGTTGAAGAGAAGGTTCAAAAACAGCCTTATTATGATGTTTGAGTACCTACACAAACAGAAGATTCTTGATAGAAGAGAGCTCTTTTATCTGTTAGGCAATGGCATTTGAAGTATGGTGGTTAGAAGCTGAATTTTAAATATTGATATTGAAAATACAATGCTAGTTTCTAACAGGGAAGGTTATTCACCACTGGCAAAGGGAGCTGAGGAATGCAGTTAACTATGTCTCTTCTTGCAGTCTTTAAATCCACAGCTTATTGGGTTAGATGCAAGACCTACCTGTTATAGTGAATGGTTATATTTCAGATGGCCATTGGCCCTAGGATTAGCAGGAACCATTTCTGCTTATTAAAACCAACTTGTCTTTAAAATGCACTAGAAAGTATGATGATGATGCACAACTGGAATTGTTCCCTCTATGGTATTAGCAGACTTGCACTGATGAGCATGGACTGGTGAGAGCACTGGTGTAGATAAGTCTCCAGAAACTCTCAACATTTTACCATTTGAATATGGTTACATGAGAGTGTTGGTGTCTGGTCTAGACTAATACACACACCATTGCTAGTCTAGATGTAACCTTAGAGGTGCTGCATCTACAGTAAGTAAATGTCTGTAATGGTGTCACCAGCTTTGAAAATGAGCCTTGTATTTAGGCAAACACTTTACAGAATAATATATGCTGTGTTTTACAAACAAAACCTTAAAGTGACAGAGTGAAGAGATGGTATCATTAATAAATCAGCTCCATAATTACCAATTACCAGTCTTTTGTTTTATAACACCTCTGTTTTCAAATTGTAGTGATTTTAGAGTCTAATAACTAAAGGAGTTCCCTGTATTTTATTCATGTTAATTGATTGTGTTATACCTCTATATTCATAATTCACATGAGTATAGAGTGACCTTGCAGGTTTTGGCTGTTACTGTCAAACTCTGCTGAGTCTGCCTTATACCACAAAGAGTGCAAATAAATTGAAATCTTTTTGTGAATGAGGATTTAGTTTTGTTTTAATTTATTATGGTTGAATAGTATTTCCTGAAAGCATTTACTTACAATGAGCTCACTTTGGTATCCCAATGAATATTTTAAGAACTGTTTCACACTGTGAAAGCAATGTGATAGCATGCCATAATCCTACAGGTCACAAATACTAAAGAAATTGTGGAACAACAAAGTTAATAGGGATTTCAGCTTCACAAAGCTTTATTATACTACGCTGACCTTAATCACAGTTGGACACAAAATTAATCTGGCAACTGGTGTTTTAAATTACAGGCCAAATTTGGCGCTCAGATACACGATTGTAAATCTAGATTAACTCCATTGCTTTGAATAGGGTTATTCTGGTTTTACCTCAGTGCAACTGGCGGCAGAATCTGTGCTTACATTTATTTATTCATGTCTTGCATTCAAAAGCTTGTCTAACTCTATTCCAACTACACAGTTGGTCCAATAAAAGATATTACCCTAACAAATCCTTGCCTCCCACATTTAACTCATTATTTTTTCAGTTATTTGTAAAACATTAATTTATTTTATTTTGATTTCAGTCCACACTGAGACTACTTGCCAGAAGGTGCATAAAAGCTCTGGGTGCCTTTGGTATGCATTTAAACATGGTCAAATCAGTGTGGAATTTTTTTTTAACCATTTGAAGGCAGCTGTGCTTGTTCTAGCCCACTATTAATCACTAGCCATATGACTTGCACAGCTTTAAACCCTCCCACTATATTTTCCTACACGACAGAGAAATTTCCATCTCAGACCTCAACCAATGCCTGATAAAACACATTTTCAAAATAGTCCATTGGTTTGGATTATGTAAAGTGTTGAGCTGAGGCCCAAATTAATTGGCCAAGGTTGTAAACTAGATACTTCCCTCCAAGAAAAATGGTTTCTAAATTCTCATTCTGCATTCAGACAGATATTTCTGACCATCAGCCAGCTAAATAATATGTGCCTGTAGCTCCTCTGCTCTAACTCCCACACTGCTCTCCTCCTCTTGGAAGTGAGTGGCAGCAGGGGCACTTTAACTAAAGCTCATTGAACAAGGTTTATTTCAAGTGTCCCAGCCACCGGGATGCTAATACATGAGACACTGCAGTGCTTTAATTAGAGTGGCTCTTAGAGCTGCTCTAACAACCCCCCTCCTTCTGGAGCATGTGTGAAAGTGCCCAAGAGCTCCCTTCATGGATAGAACAGT